CAAAAGGAGAGGATTCCTTAGCACAATAATTAAACAACATTGGGAAACTTGCACTATCAAATAAGTATTATAATTTCTGTATGGTACCGCAAACATGACACAAACACCTGTATTATGGACACACAACTCCATTTTCTAAGTGCTAAGCACAACTAATTCCAAACGAACACCATGGGGGCTCTGTAATAGCTTGGCAACCTCTTGGAGGAAAAACTATGACATTATTTAATTTTCCTAAAGCAAAGTGAAGAGTGAGCCCAGATTTATTACAATAGAGGTAACTGATCAAATACAATATTCTAAGGGTTACATTCACAGACAGGCTTACTTTACTTTTATTGTCTTATGAATCTAGCTAAACTTGTAGCATTAAAAAAAAATAATCTGTTTTGACTTTGTAAACTAACGCTAGAGCAACTTGATGAAGGATGAAATGAGACAGGAAGAAGTTTCATTCTGAGAGACAGTACTGTGAGCTCAGGACACTGCTATTTATGCTGGGGATTTCACTACAAGCAGTCCCCAGTGCAGCACGTGACTTGTCACTGGAAGTTTGTGTTCAAGAAACTGAAATAAAATACAATAAAGAAAGCCTTAAGAGTACAAATTAAGTGTGAGTAGCTGCAATACTAAATATTCCCGAATCAGCAAAAGATGGAAACAAACTGTACAGTAACTGCATCTAAGGAGAGATATATATCTGAAGTAGAAGTCTCCCATGTACTGCTGAAAGCCCCTAGAGAGGGGATTGCGCCATCCAAAATTATCAGGTTTTCCCCACTCCCTTGCTTGAGCCCACATTTTCTTTCATCTCCCTTTTTCCTTCTTCAGCACGACTGCAAGAATCCTTGCAGCTTCTGTACCGTTCTCCAACACGTGCAAGCGAGTCTTGTAGAAGGAAGAGACCTTTCCCTGGCCTGCAGTTTCCCCACTCCGCACACAAGCTAGATAAGGACAAGGCTAAGCAGACTAGTTTGCGTAACACGTTTTAACACTGCTACCCCAAATATCCACAGACTGTACTTTTGCCTCCTGGTGAGGCGTTAGGGGACTATGCTCACTCTTCTCTAAACAGTGTCAGGTACATCTCAGCTCAGCACCAGACACTGCGCCCGCTGTGTGCATCGGTCGCTCTGAAGCATAGTGATCCTGGTAGCTCTGGAAGCCCCAAGATCGAGAATTGATAGAAGGTGTAGGAGCACACATACATTCTATTTTTTCCTAAGCAACTTCTGTTATCCTCCGTTTGCAAGAAGATTCTGGGTAAGACAGATCTTACGTTAAGGTTCAAAATTCAGAAATAGTAGCAGCTCAGCCTAATAAACATTTTTATAATACCTGGAGATTAGCGGTCATAGATGCCTCCGAGAGCTTCAAATGCTCTCCTGTTACTGCAAGCAACAGGAACTGATACTCGACTACATTTGATAGCCCTTTATATGGAAGCAACCTCAAAAACTGTTTCTCACTAGCATCTTTCAGTTGTGTTAAACTGTTAAACTACAGTAGCGACTAAGTCCAATGTTTTAAGTGTGATTTTCAAGCTAGGTGTCCCATCAGCATTTGACCAATGCAGTGCGTTCGAGATTTTTTTTTTCCTTTCATTTGGTCCAAAAACAGAGATACTTCCTTTTATCTGGGCAACACAACATTCAATGCAATGCTGCTCATCTGTCAGCAGCCTGCAAGACCAAATCCATATTAAGTATATCACCAACAGATAGACCGAGAATCATAATTAAACAACAAATTTTCTCTTTCAAAAGTGCATCTGTGGGTATTCATGTGTTTTCACTGCTTTTAAGTACTTGATTTGCTTGGGCAATTTCAATAAATGTTATTTAATCAGTATTTCTTTCATTTACTACTTAAGTTTTCAGAAAAGTTTCTGCAGCATGTATTACATTGAAATCCATAAATTGTCACATGTATTGTCTGTCCACACATTCACAGTTGCACAAACTACTTCCCTTTTCATTTATGCCTATATAAAAGTTAACTAAGGCAACCGCTTACTCAGAGAAATTTCTATATATTTTTAGCTACCGTTGACTGCCATTTGAATTGGTAAAAATATGAGACAGTGCTACGTGACAAGCAAATATTGTTGGCAGATCTGCAATACTGAGAACTCTCCTACTAGTAGCATTTCACCACTTAAGACTTCTAACAAACATTATGAAGTTATTAGGTTTGGTTTTGCTTTAAGTTAACTAGACCTTCTCCACCCATGTGTGATACCATCATTCTTACTCTACAAAAACTCTTAAAGCTTGAGCCAAATTTAACCTGATCATTTCCATCTTTCTGAGCATGGTTCCTTTTTAACATTCAGCAGAACTCTCTCAGTTTTGCATCTCAATCAAACTTTCACACATCCAACCAGAAACATGAATCACACTAGTGCTATTTCAGGCAACATGTACAGCTATAGTGGCAGGGGAAGCGTGCCATCCACCAGATCACAGAGGTAATCACAAAGCAACGCTTGAAACAGGTGAATTACTAAGTGCAAATATGTTTTGGGTTTTTTTGTTTTGTTTTGTTTTTTTTTTTTTTAAAAAAAAAAGGCTTGCACTGGTTTGCTGTCAGGACATTTGTGACTTCTGTGCTGCAGACAAATGCTTGTTAGAATCTCAAAACATTTTTCGCCATTAAGGCCCTAATCTGCATTACAGGTATGATAACTTAAGAAATGCAGCAAATATTTTTTGCATGTAAGAAAAGGATATGAATTTTATCATCTTTCTGAACTTACTGAAGCATTGCCAACCCCAAGTGTTCAGAACACATAAGGCAGGACCTACAACAGAATTGTGATTTCAAAAGCACTGCAGTTTTGAAATCAAGTGGGAGTGCATTTACGTATTTATTTTTACTTCTCCTTCAGTTGTATTTAGGGTTTTCCTGCTTCATGTTTCATACTCCATTGCACAACTGAAAAATGCTCAACTTTGAAGTGTTATCAACTTAGAGTTTAGATGATCGTAAAATTCATTGACTTCAAAAGGTGGACCTTTGTGAAGAAGAGGAAGTATTAGAAAATTACAATAGTTACAGATAGCATGTTAAAAATCAATTTACTTCAGTATTTAAAACAGTGTTTATGTAGCCCATTCTTCCTTCTGCTTTATTTCCTGAGTAGTAATACCATAAAAGTAAAAGCTGAAATGAGGAAGGCGCACAACACACATTAGGAGATTTAGGAGGGAAGGATCACAAGTCAATTAATTAAACAATTTAAGAAGTTGGTTCTTTTCAACATAAAAGAATTTTTTAAGTTGGTTTTTTTTTTTTAAAAAAAAGATTATCTAAACAAAACCTGCTGGGGTAGTGAAGTTCCACTAACTAGTGCAAATTCTGTACAAATGTGCAGAAGTAGCCTGTAATACTGTACATCCGCTTCCCCACCTCTGCTGTACTGTTTAGCATTTCATTTCATGCGTAAGACATTTATTATTCAATACTGTACCACTGAAGACTAGCCATTTATGATCTATACAAAGTAGCAGCATCTTTAAAATGTAGCTTTAGCACACTAAAATATAATAAAGAATGTTGAAAACTTCTTCAGTATGAAGGGCTAGGACTAACACCTTGCTGAGTAAATGCCCCTTGTTCAAGTGTACATATGCAAAGAGTGAAGTCTTTAGCCTAACATAAGCAATTAACTCCAACACTTCTAACAATTTTATTAAAAATGGCTGAGATATATGTCACTAAAATTTACCTCTGGCTTTCTGACCCTTTCTCCTCTACCAGATGGTCATCCTGTAATTCTTGTGTTCATTTTCAGATTGCACCTATGTTATATGCTACTGTCTGAAGTCTTAAGAATGAATTTATGGTCTTCTCTAGTTCATCTAATAGGCTGCATTTTCTAAAAACACATATATACACACAGGCACATACACACAAATAAAATACACTAACTTCATCTTCTAAGGATTTACAGTTTACTGTTTAATACAAGTAGCATACAGCTAGTGATACTAGTTACCCTAATCAAAATGTAATGTTGCCACAATTCAAAAGCAGAACAAGCAGAAATGAAAATGGAAATGAGCAAGAATATTTCACCCAGCAGAAAGCAAATGCAGAGTTAGTGGCACACTGACAAGAGCAACTGTGGCCTGCTCTCTGTATAGCAGCAGTTCAGCAGATAGGTAATAAACACATTTAATATTAAAAAAAAAAAAAAAAGTTTTAAACTGCAACACAGGATATAGCTATTAGAAGATTCACTTAGCACAGTTATACTCAAAACAGCAACCAGCACACAGACGCACACACACACAAAAAACAAACAAACAAAACCAACAAAAAAAACAACAAACACCCAACCACTATTGAATAGTGACAATTCAGTTATGGATCTGCACTATCTGCCTGCAAGAATACTCATTCCACATACAACATTTACAGACTGAAATTCATTGTGTATCATAACTTCTATAAGCAGTTTATAGTAGTCCACGTTTTATTTTACAGCTTAAATAAATTCAAATTGCATTGACAGGTACTATACAGAGATCAATAAAAGGATTATTTTTTTTTCTAAATAGCAAAATTTTTTCCCTTTTCCCCTACATTTAATCTTTGACTCTTTAATGTGCAACAAGGTATTTCATAATTCTTAAATATCAACATAATTTTGGTACACTTAAAAATTTTCATTTCCACCAGGAATAGGTCATCTTTATTTAATACCATTAAAAATGCATGCATAGTAAAACAGATTAATCAGGAAAACGCCTTAATTCACAAGCCCTTTCTCTACCTCAAGAGAGGAGCCCCCGTCCAATATAAAAACAACAAAACCGGTGGTGCAAGACTAACAGACTAACACCAGCTTTACAACCTTATCACTGGGGATCTCCAACTATTTCAGCCATAAGCTGAAGAACCAAGCTATAAGAACCGAGACATCGTTAATGTAAAACAGTAATTATTATCAAGCTGGCATCACAAGATCAGAGTCCAATACAGACATTTTGTACCTTGGTGCTGGATAGTGTTACTTGAAGCATCAGCCTAATAGCCGGTTTATTCATAAGGCACGCACTAAAATGAAACAAACAGTAATTAAGTGCTGACAGTGACCTAGTTAGCTACATAAGGAGCGAGATCGTCCCGTCATTCATGACGGGTTCGCCGGAATCCGACAGGAACGGTCCCGTCAGCCCGAGCTCGGGGAGCAGCGCCTCCCGCCCGCCCGGGCAGCCCCGGGCTCCCGCGCCCGCCGCGGCCCGCCCGGCCCCGCACCGCCGGCCGCTCCCCCGGCCCCCGCCGCTTAAGCCCTCGGATCCCCGCCAGCGAGGCCCCGGCGAGCGGCGGAGCCGGCGCGGGCAGCGCCAAGGCCGCCGGCTTTCGCCTTCGCCTTCCCCTCCCCCGCGCCGCAGCTCCGGCAGCTCCGCGCTGGGATAAGGCCGCCTCTGACTCGCTCGCTGCTCGCGTCCCCCCTCACCTCCCTCTCCTCCCTCCCCCAACGCGCACACTTGATAGAAAGTCTCCTCTCGGCGGCGGGAGGGCGGTGAAATCCTTCGCTCTCCTCCCTCCGCTCTCTGTAACGCGAACGAGCCGCCGCCTTCTGTTCCTCAGCCTTGGCCAAGTCGGCGTTTTGTTGACAGGCTCTGCCGGGCACAAAATGGGGCTGCCGCTTCCATGGGCGCCGCCATTTTGTGAGGAGCCGCCGCACTCGCTGGAGCCGCAGCCTCAGGAGCGGCGGCAACGGCAGCCCAGGCGCGCCGGAGCGGCGGCCGGGGTCTGTGTAATGGTTGAATAAAGTGACCCCCTCTAGGGAATCCCCAGCTGACAGTTACGTAAGGGACCGTGCGCAATTGCTGTGCTTAGCATGGAAACCCACCTAGCCCTGCTACGCAATTTGCCTATCCTCCCCTCTGCCTCCCACTCCCACAGAGCATCCGGGCGAGGAAAGTGACTCACCTCTGCCGACCGCCCCTCGCGGAGGGGAGACCCCCTGCTTTTAAGGAATTTTAAGGCATGATTAAAAACCACCGCCCTCCCGTGAAGGGAGGTTTAGCCGTGTATGTCTGAAAGAGCGATTTAGCCCCTCAATCGCTTGTTTTAAACCGCTCTCATTCGTATTATCCTGGCTTTGGGAGTTTCAGGCATACTGTTGCTGAAATAGCAGAAACTCAAGCGTGTCACAGACAGGAGCTGTAGACCAGGATCTGCTGCACGTCTAATTTTAGGGGGGGAGGGGGGGAGGTGCGGGGGGGACTCTGCTACAGTGAATAAGGCACTATGTATTTCTTACACCGAAATCCACACACCACCACCCCAGAGAGAGAGAAAGACTTTTCAATAGACAGTTAATCTGAAACTGAGGGATTTCTTTTCCCCCCTCCCCCCGCGAAGTGTGAGCCCAGGGCAAATCTTACTAAGTGTCTTACTGTGTCTCTATGGCTATATTCACTCTGAAACAGCAGTCAAGTCAAAAGGAAAAAAATCTTTGAAAAAAAAAATGTTTTGAAGCAAGTTAGTACATGGAATAGAAAGGAATTATCGTTTTCCTTCTTTAAGTGCTCACTTGGGGCCATAATGTGCCATTGATTTTAAAACACAGCTCCTTACTGACTTTAATGAGGAGTTCTGCTTAAAAAAAAAAAAAAAAAAAAAAAAAAAAAAAGCAAAGCTAAAGGCCCTATCTGGCCTTGATTTCACTGTATTGGTTGCGAGGGGAAAATGTTCCTCCAGAGCCTCTTAAACTGGAGCAAGAGCTCACCTGCGGCTCTGTTTGCTTGCCTGGGAAGGTCAGATGCCCACCTGGGTTGCCACTTGCTTTACCTGAGGAGCAAAGGTTTGAGGGGAGGTGCTGTTCACCGCATGGGCCGCTTCTCACTCCTGTTTAGGCCAAACGGTGCCAGACTCCATTGTGGCCAGCCTGCAGGTCTTCTCCTGGACTCCCGTGTGGGAAACGTGTCAGGAGACGAGTGTTTACAAACACTGTACACACCGTGGGCAGAGGGGAGAGCGGACCGCAGTGCCAATGTTGGCTACCGCCCGGTCACGGTGAGGGCCAAGACCTTCCTCCTTAATTAATTTTACACTGTATGTTCCATTCACCAATATGCAGAAATATATAGGCGCCTTAGATTGAGTACAGCAGTCCTAAAGCACTTTGATTACAGGCCGTAGTATCTCCGAAAGAGAGGAGGAAAAAAAAAAAAAAATGTATGGAGTGAGACAGAGCTCAGGCCCCTGCTGGCAAACCTCTCCAGGGCAGCCCCTGCTTGTGAAAGCGCTCGGCATTCTCCTTTGGGGAGTTTTAAATGCCTCACGTCTCCAAATGAGGGGCTCCTGCTGCCCCCCGGCTCGGCGAGCAGCCCCCCCGCCCCCGCCGTGCCATCCGGGGCGACTTCCTGCCCTTGGAAACACCTCAGGCCGGGGGACTCGGAAAGTTTTTCAAAAGTCCAAATCCACCAGTGCCCCCTTCAGTTGTTGTTTTCTCTCCCCTTGAACTCAGGGCGTTGGGTTTAGTCCAATTAAAAAATTCGGCCCCGCTTTCCAAATCCACCTTTCCTGCCCTCCCCACCCCCACCCCACCCCCCCCCACACACACCCACCCCCCCCCTCCCGCCGTCAGCCAGCGGAGAGAGGCCGATCGGTGCGAGCCTGGCAAGGGAGGGCCCTTTCCCCGGCCCCTAGCCCCGGAACAACCGGTAGTAGCCGTTTTTTTCCTCCCCTCTTCTCCTTCTCCCTCGCCTCTTTCCGCCCGGCTTTGTGTGAAGTTTGCGGCACATTGCAGATGAGCCCTTAGCGGCGAGAGGAGCCTATTGTTCCCCGCCAGGAACTGCTTGCTGGGGCTGTGCTGGCTTTTGCCTTTAGAGCTGCCTTCTGCAGTACCGGGACCGGCCTCCGGGGTCCGCTGTGTTGCGCTCTCGTCCAGGCAGAAGCACGGCGGCCTCAGATCTTTTTGTCTGAGAGAGAAGAGAAGTGAATCCCGCTGCCGCCGCCACCGCCGCCGCCGCCGTAGCTGTACAGTGTGTGTGTGTGAGAGAGCGAGCGAGGGAGCGAGCGAGCGAGGGAGAGGGAGATCGCATGGAGCCGCGGCTGTAACACACACACACTGTCAATACCTCACTCCGGCTCCCCCCCCACCCCACCACAACAGTAACCCAATTCATTGTGTGATCCAGCAGCACCATGTTGAGTCTCATGTGCAGGCTGGATCGGTTGGGTTTGTGGTGCTGAGAGAGGCAGCAGCAGCGGGAGGAGGAATTACTGAGAGGTGCCCCTCTCCCTCCCTGTCTCTTTGCCTGTGTGTTGTGTGGAGACAGGACTCGCAATTACCACACTCTCTGGGCTCCCTTATTCCTTTTAAACTTTTTTTTAAACAAGCCCCTCTCCATGGCTGATCCCCGGCCGAGCACGGGCACCTGGGTCTCTTAAAGACAAGGAGGAGCCGGGGATTGTTGTTGTTGTTGTCGGCCGTTTTTTTTTTTTTTTTTTTTTTTTTTAAGATTGGATTTTTTTTTTTTTTTTTACGAGAACCTTTTTTAATACAAAAATGGCAAATTCGACGGGTAAAAACCACGCAGACCAGCGGAGAAAGGGACTCGCTTTCCTGGACGAGCTGCGGCAGTTTCACCACAGCAGAGGGTGAGGAAAATGGGGAGATGGAACGGGAGGGGGGGAGGCTTTTAAACCGACCAGATCCAACTTCCAGCCCCTTCCCTGAAGGACACGGCAGTCCCAGCGAGGGGAGAAAAGGGGGCAGAGCTGACAAGTTGTGGTGTTTTGTGTGTATCTCCTTTGGCAGGTCTCCTTTTAAGAAGATCCCCGTGGTGGGTGGGAAGGAGCTGGATCTTCACGCTCTCTACACCAGAGTCACCACTTTAGGCGGATTTGGGAAGGTGAGTGGAAGTTTTAATTTGGGTTTCCCTCCCACTAACCTCTTCCCAAAAGTCTCCTCTGACCCCCGGGGGCGGCGGGGGGAGCCGGGGTGGCCGGGAACCGTCCTATTTAAAGCCGGTTAGAGAAGGTGGGGGGTGGAAGAAGGAAGCGAGCAGATAGGCAGGTTGGTGGCTTGGCCTTGTCGGTGGAGCGATGAAGGGGGATCCGGGGGTACGGCGCACACCCCGCTGGTGCCTCCCCCGCCTCCGCCGGAGCCCCTCGCCCCTGCCCCCATTCCCCGGGAGAAGGCGAGGAGGGAGCAGAGAGCTCCGGTCGGCGAGAGGCAGTTTCTTTCGCTTGTGGTGGCAGCTCTGTGTGTGTGTCTCTCTCTCACAGAGGGAGAGACAGAGAGGAGAGAGTCTGAGTGCAGTTTTAGTGCAACTCAAAATTAGCGGGCATGTTTAACATCGATAATCGGCACGGAGCATGGGCTAGGAAACGATCCTCGCAGCCGGGGGGGGGGCCGGGCGCTGCCCTCCGAGCCCTTCCCGGAGAAAAATAACAAAAGGGGCACCCAAGACGGTGTGTAATCAAATAGCCATCTTTAGGCTTCAAGGCTAGGGACAGAAATGTAGGCCTCAAAAGAAAGGCCTCTCTGTGTCTGTGGATCTGTCTTGGGGGGACCCCCCGGGACGGCGCCCCCGCGCCCCGGAGGCCAGGGGGCGCCCCCGCCACGACTTCCCTGCATTATTTTAAACTTCTTTGGGTTTTTAACGGACCGCGTTAGGATTTAAAAGGGGGCGACAGAGGGACTCCCGATTGGTTATTGTCCAGGCAGTAAAAACAAAAACAAACAAACCCCAAAACAATACAAACCCTCCCGTCCGTTCCCTTTCCCCCCCGAAAAAAAAAAAAATAAGGTATGTGTTTAAAAAAAAAAAAAAGTAAAATACCGTTGAGGAGCGGGATTATTCCCGAAGGGAAAATACTACCGACTGTCAGTAAAATATATAGTCCTAAATCCCATATACACTCGTGTTTATTTCTTTTTATATATTTACCTTTTTGCTTCATGGCACCTTGTGTTTTTTTGTGATGTTCGCTGTCAACGACATGTTTATGTGTACGTTGTGTATTTCGGCCTGTGTGTTGTTTTTGACAGGTATCAGAGAAGAATCAGTGGGGAGAAATTGTAGAGGAGTTTAACTTTCCCAGAAGTTGTTCTAACGCTGCCTTCGCTTTAAAACAGTATTACTTGCGGTGAGTGCTATCAAGCTGTTGCAATAGTATTTTTGAGTGTGGGATTATATTTGGTTTTCAGTGAGTGCAATAATAAAAATATCCCTACTCTTTAAAAATGCTATAAAATAAAGCAGAAAGAACTTGTAATTCCTTACTGTTCTGGTGCAGTGATCAGTTAAAGGTAATTCTGTTTTGTAGTTATTTTGTTTGTATTTTACATCTGCAAGCCTTAAACTTTGAAGGGATCCCAAGTATATAAACAATATATGTCAGGGCCATTTTTATTGATTGTTTTAGAACGACAGTACTAAAGGACTGTTATAGAGAGATCATGTTAATTGTAGTTACACAAACTTATCTTGATTTTTGGAGCACTGAAATGTGTTGATATATGTAAACTTGTTTATTGGTCAGTGGGGTCAGACACTGAATGAAAATGCATCTGCAGGAAGGTAGACTGCTTTGGATAAATTATATTGTTATCAACTACTAGCAGCATACATTATTTTTTATTTTAGAGTACAAAGAGCTAAATATTTTTTCTATTATTTGAAAAATAATAGATTTATGCAGTTTTTAAAAATGAGTTTACATTCCTTGAAATGATAGGATATTTTTTGTGATGCAGATTATTTTTTAATGTAGCATGGAATTCATATTGAATATTTTAAATTACTGTGTGTGGTACTGTTCAGTTATTAGATGACTTTTTTTTAAAAAAATAATTTTTATTAACTTTTGGTGACTATTCTTTGTCTGAAAGATTTTAAAATCATTGCATATATAGTGTTTTTAGATGCTATATGTAAACGATTATATATAATTTAGAATAAAGTTTTATGTACATTGGTTAAGGAATGTAATTTTCTGTTTCTGAGTTGTATAAATTATATTTTTCATTGCAATTAATGATAATATAGATGTGCAATATATACAAAAGATGTATGGGCTTTTGGACTTATGCTTTGGTGATCTGAGTACACAGAAGCTTAATCTGTCTCTAGTTTGGCCTTCTGAATTAGGAAATGCAGTAATTGTACAGGTGCACTTTCTATTGGTTGTCCTAGATTGACTTCCAG